CCCCAAAACCCCAAAACCCCAAAACCCCAAAACCCCACATGAGCAGGATAGAGTTGAAATAATAATTTATGTTAAATATGAAAAGCCAAAAAGTTGCATTATCAGGAGCATCCCCTAACTCTTACATTGAGCAATCTGATTTTAAAGAAAGTATCTTCTTTATTGAAGATGAAGACAATAGAGAAACCAATGGCTGTCCCAAAAATGATACAAGAGATATGGAGATTAAGGGCGAGTGCACAACAATGGCTACTTCTTTTATTCAAGATCTTGACACTATTCATGAAGAAGAGAGCCAACTTGAGAATGGATCTGATAGTAGTTCATTGGGATTTAGTACTTTTGGAAATGAAAGAGAGATTGAGAACTCGAATGTTTATTCACAGAGCAAAACCTGAGATCACACAAAAAGGCTTATGAACCAATTTTGAGCCACTAAGCCAAGTGGTAAAAAATTCTCTGAGAGTCATGCTTTGTCTTCTAAAATGGCTCTGGCTTGGAGAAAAGCAATATCGAGAAGCCCAAAAAATTAGGACTAAATGCTCTGAATAACTTAATTAATCTAAAATCTAATAATTTTTGACAGAAAACAGTTTTAATATGATAATCTCCTGAAACCTATTAGAACATTTATATCTATGACTTTCTGAATCTTATTTACAAAAAACTTTCAAGATTCTTTTTTGGTGAGGATCTTTCTAAAACTTTAAAACTAGCACTTCAAAAATTTCTAGAGAGTTTGGGAGGATATTAAGCTTAATCTAACGAGTTCAAAAAACAGCAGTGCAACCAAATTGTCAGTCCTTTACTAGAATAAGTTTACAAATAATAATTCAATTGAAATAAAAAATTGTCTATTCTGACAATAATCTTTCTAATGGCCCAGCTTGATGGCTCTTAAGCACAAGATCCACTAACTGTGAATTCTTGGCAACAATTCCCACCATGTTACTCACTTGTTCCTGTACTCTTTTGCTAATAACTAAGATTCAGCATAAAAAATAGGACTTATTCACCAATAAAACAGGCAAGTCTGCGATTATAAGTGATTTATTATTAAATTATTATCTTGAATTAAAGTGTCAAAACTCTGACAAATTGGGAATGATTTTGATGCACACATCTCGAGATTCCCCACTGCTTCTGAAAACTATTCTCTATTATTTTTCAGCAACTTATAATGATTGTGCTTTTTACTTTTTCCAAGATTAAGAGAATCAATTTTCCGTAACTAATCATTCACAATAACACCTATCAAAACTGTCCTACATGTGACAGTGTGATTAATATTATTAATGCCATATAACTTGACGGTCTCTTCAAGTTAAGTTACAGAGGCACTGAATATTTTAACATCAGAGTGATCTTCACTAATTCTACAAATTATCTAAAATATGGTTACTCTCGTTTAAAATGCTTATATTTTAGCCCTGCTTCTTCAGAATCAAACTGTAAATTTATTACAAGCCAGTTGGTAAGTTTCACAGTTATTGCTACTTGTAGAGTATGACTTTCCACCTAAAAAGATGGAAATTTAGGTCCTAAAATGGTCAGAAATCTCTTCTCATAGAACTATGAAGAAACCCTGACTCTAGAGGCTATCTATTAAATACCCATATCCATTTTATTTGGAAAAAGTGGTTCAACACAATATTGAATTAGTGGGGTTTTGGGGTTTTGGGGTTTTGGGGTTTTGGGGTTTTGGGGTTTTGGGG